ATTTATTGTTCAGTTAACTTTGGTAAATTAAGTTAATTGCACTAATTGCATTCAGTTAACTGAAGTTACTTTCTCCGAACTTATTAATGTGTTCACAGAATGTTTCCACCAAGTTGAATGATTACATTGATTATTAAATACACAAACAGATAAAAACAATTGATTATGGAAATGGAAGCTTTTTTTATGTGACTAACTTTAAATCTTTACACTTTGGGGGATCATTGATATAAATTATATAAAGTCAACTTATAGAAAATGAGTCCGTGGAACAAACTTGAATTAAACATCTGTATTTAAAATACTGAACACATTTAGGTTCACTCAGGACAACAATTCGTTTTAAGTTGTTTAATTAATGTGAACGAGTTACTGAGATTAATTTATGTTAACTTAGTTATTTTATTAAAAATAGAAATAAAAGTATAAAGTCTAAGTTTCTCTAAAGGACTTTTTTAACGGTTGTTTCTGTGTAAAACAAACTGAAATAAAAGTCTTCCTCTCTGTCGTATTCCCTAAAAGATTTAAATAAATGATCAATAAACAATCTGTTTGTTTTCTCCCTGAAAACTTCTTCTGTGAGAAGCTCTGAGCTCTTATTCTGAAGGCCGTGCAGACAGGCCTCAGACCTGCAACTTCACAAGAGAGAGTGTTTGAGTGTGAGACAGAGGGGGGAGGAGGGGGGAGGAGCAGGGAGGAGGGGGTCACACTTCTCCTCTGTGAGGTTATTTAAGTTGGGGTCACGCAGAGGACAAGAGGAGGAGCTGCTCCGGAGTGCCAAAATACATCAACAGTAAATAACAGCTGATTATTTTATTTCACACAAAGAAGATTTTTAACAAACTAACTGAAGTTAAACAAACAGTTTGTTATTTAGTGAACTTAAGACGAGCTGGAAGGAAGCTTTTGTTCCCTTTGAGCCACGCTAGCCACTTTCAGTCTTTATGCTAAGCTAACCGACTACTAGCTGTAGTTTCAACATAAAACAAAGAAAAGTAACAAATTCTCACGAACGAGCAGCTAAAAAATAAATTAACAGACTCTCTTGTCAAACTACGGAGGCCCAGAAGGGACACAAGGGAGGAAAAAAGTAATTTTCTTGGGGAAATACAAAAGTTTTTTTTTTTTTTCACCCACCAATTTTTTGTCCTCCCTCTTGTCGCTTCAGGGCCTCCGTAATAAGCAGGGGAAAAGTTGATCACATTTACAGTAAATGAAGTTTCTTCACTAATTAAATCAAAATAAGAACAAAAAATTATGACTTACTTTGTAACTTGGTTTATTTATTTATAGATTAAGTTTGTAAACAAATGTTTTAATAACTATTTTATTGTACTTTTATTAAATTAAATCTTTTCGATACTATTTCTTTAGAAATTCTAAAGTGTCTTTCTCTAGACACTTGTGGTCCTCCATAAAAACAAAACTGAACTCATTCAAAATTAAAAAGTCAATATATTTATTTATTTATTTAAAGATCTCACCTGTTTGAGAAGACTGAAACTATGGAAGCCCATTTCTGCCAATATGACGTGAAAAAAACAAAAAGATCCTGTAAGAACAAAGAAAAACTAAATAATATTGTCATAAAAACACTCCGACACGCTTTTATTGTTTTATTTCAGCTTTAATAGACGCAGCCGTTTGTGAGGAAAGGCCACATTTGATTCAAAGAGAAAACAGAAATAAACTGATGAAACCCCACAAAGGCACCGATGAGGCCCAAACTTTCACAGCCGAGCTCAAAATAATCCAACGAATTCTCACTCAAATACAATTTACTGACTTTTATCTTCAGATTAAATGTTGAAATTAAGATTTTTCACTCAACAGTAATTTTTGGGGATTTTGCAGCTCGGCTCTGAAATTAAAACTTCTGACCTTTTGTCTGTTTTTTTTGCATCAAGTGTTGAAGAACAGAGCAGAACTTTATCTGAGATAAATCTCGTGAGATAAATCTGAGTCTCCAAAAACAGAATCACTAGAAAAATTAAAATCAGTAAAGAGCAACAGAAAAAGATCTTTGACATTTACAGACTCAAACTGGAGACACGAAACACAAAACTGAAGAAAAACTGAATTTAGGCCGCAAACTTGCTCAGAAATTCCATCTGTTGAGTCGATTTTGAGTTTTTGAGAAAAGAATATCACCACGAGGTCCATTTAGTGGCGGTTCTGGAGCTTTCAGGAGTTTTCTCAACGTCTGTTCTGATACAGCAGAAAGCTCCAGAACAGCTGTTAACGGCGTTTAGTAGCCACCATAATGTTTAAAAATCAAAACAAATAAATATTCTTAAATCAATAAATCCAACTGTCTTTTTGCACCACATAACCACATTATGGTAAAATTAACTTTAATTGATCTATAATCTTTTTGGCACTCTTGGGACTCCATACTTTCTGACCTTTCAGGGTTAACAATAAAAAAACTGGAAATTCTGTTTGAAAAAGGGAATTTTAATTTATTTATTTTGAATTATTAAAAACTGTTTCTGATTATTTCAGCTCAAATATCTTCACTTAAAAGTGAACTGATCGACTTATTAATTAATCGACTAATTGGGCTTTTCTAAAGAAATTGCAATGCATGTTGGGATAATTTTAGGCTTTTTTTGCACAGACATTTCAGGAGAAAGTGAAAATTTTAAATTTTTTTTGGTATAATTAATTAATTAAAAATCAGGAAACTACAATCATTGGACAAAAATTGGGTTTCCAACCTGATATCTCAGCATTTGGTTCACGTAAAGGAACACTTTTGCAAAATAAATGTCCACTTCCTTTGTTTTTTCCAAAGCTTTCTGCCACATTTTATGGCCAGTCAACACAGGACCTCCGTATGAAGAGAAACAAACATTATATGGTGCAACAAGACAGTTGGAGAATACCTGATGAGATAAACTGAATCTGAATATTTTGCCATTTTTCCATGAATGAAAAATTTCAAAATAAAGTCAAGAATGAACCTTATTTTGAAAGTCTCTGTGGCTCCAGTTTGAACAGCTTTAAAAACAATAATACAAACTGTCATATATCAACTCTTCATTCATCCATTAACACCACTGGCCCATAATCAGTACAGATTAATTGATCAAGAAGCCTAATTTATATTTCAACCAGCCGATCTGACAACATGTGAAAAATAATAAAAATAGTATTAAAGTATTTTCTGATTGTCGTCCGACCGGCTGCGTTTCTACGGTAACGCAAGCTTTAATGTCCAGCAGTGCGTTCAGTGAGCTCGTATTTACACGAAGAGATTCAACCAAACGTTTCACAGTCTACAGCTAACTCGGAGCAAAAAATTATACGGAAGCTCGTTGAAGACACAAAAAAAAAATAACAAAAAAATTAGCTTAAAATAATCTGTCACACTGTACTGTCGCTTAACAAGATCTTTCAAAATAAGATTATAGTGTATTTATTAGACGTTAAGATGAAGTACAGAGTGTGATGGTGGTAGTTTGAAGATTAAACAGGAGGAAAAAAAATTAAAATCAAAAACCCGTTTTCCCTGAATTCAAAGTTAAAGTGACCAAAAAAAAAATAAATTCATTGATACGATGAGTCTCAGTTAACTTTAACAGTTAAAGTTGTTTATCAGATACACAAACAACAACATGGCTTTAAGATTCATTAACTGTTTTCATGCAGACGTTCGTATCGTTTTAAATTATATTATACGGAAGCAAAAATAGGCCAAAATAGTTAAACTAAGTGACTGAATACCTAATTTATGTTGTTTGATATTTTGGGGCATTTTATTGGCAGCACAAATGTTTAATTTCACCATCTTGAATTTTGATGCCACAATTTGAGAAACTTAATTACATAAATTTTTAGAAATAACGACAAATCAATTAAATTTGAGCAACTTGAATGTTTTTTTAATTATTTTCATGGTACTTTAATTACTGAGAATTTCAAAGACAGGAATTAAAACCACAAAAAAGTAAAAAAAGATGGTTTCTGGAGTCAAATATTAAACTGACTTTTAGTCCAGAGTACTGGATACTACATTTCCCATAATGCAACACTCAAGACCATCCGGTTTGTTTTTTTTAATAAAATGTAATGTATAAATGTGCCTCTTTAAATATCACAATAAGATACTCAGTCGCTTGCAAGATTTAAATACTTATGGCCTCTTTTGGCCTCCGTAGATTTAAGCCAGTGTTTGATAGTAGAATAATCGAGGGTTAAAACCCCTTTAAATAAAACTCTAAACTATATATGTTTTTCCCTCCGATGGGAAGAGGCCTCTAATATATTTCTTTGCTCCAGGCAACACCACAAAAATATCTTTGGTTTATAACAAAACAATTAAATCTTCTTAAAGATAATTCTGACACAGAAATGAGAGCAGTTGCAGTATCTGTCCACTAGATGGCGGTATTGTACAACGTTGACTTCAATCAGTACCTGCAGCTCAACAATGAAGCCTTTTACTTTGTAATGTGATTGATTTGAACTGATCTATAGTTTTGTTTGCGATTGTCTTCACTGAACATCGGCTGCATTTTTCTACTAAACTACGCTGAAAACGAGCCTCTTTGGGTCTCTAAGCCATCACATTGCATATATATATTATATATATTTAAGGCATAATGTTTACGTCCTTTATAACCTCACAAACAACCTTTAATGAAACCTTCTTTTACACTTACACTCATATCCTGTATTTCCATCTCTTACTTCCTGTCTTTCTCTTTTATCCGTCACAGAACCGAACCCGGGTTGACGAGGAGGTCGAGGCTGCACGTTTCAGCTCCAGATAAGAGCACAAAAACATTTATGAACACCCCCCGTCCCCCCCCGTTGGCTATCGGCACTCCCAGGCCTCCTTTTCTCTCGGAGGTTTCGGGAGCTTTAATAAAAACGAGCCGTTAATCTCGTCGTCGTCCTCGAGGTCAAACTTCTTCCTTCCTCCGTCTAATGTTTCTACTTCCTCTCAACGGCTCGCTCAACTTGCAGGAACCACTCGACTCTTCCCTCCTCTGACCACACTGTGGGGGTCAAAGGTCAGGGATCTATCCAAACACCACCAAACAAACACTTTAAATCCAACCGGTTCGTCGTTATCATCCTCACTCGTCTTCACTCTTCGTCACTCGTCTTCACTCGCCAGAACAAACAACCGAACGTCTTCCTGCGTTCTGTTTGTTTTCTGTCACATTAAACCTGAACTTCACTTTTTATTTCTCTGCCGCCTCGTCGACGACGTTCAGCTTCAGGACGACGCTATGGAGTCTAAAGTGTGCCAATACTGATAATAAAACATTAAAAACAAAGTTGAATTCAATTTGTAATATAATTATACATAAAAACATATAAGTAAATATAAACTCTTTAAACTTGTTTTTCAATTTATATATTTCCATAAATAAAAGAAGATAAAAGCAGAAAAATAATGGAAACAGGAGTTAAAATTCAACATATTTTGCTGCTTATTTACTTTAATGAAGGTTTTACGTAAAAATTAATAATGGAATTTTTTTAAAAAATTTATAATGAAATTGTAATGTAAATTTTATAGCAGGCAAATAAATGATTTATGACGTGGAAATATTAAAATGTTGTTTTTTAAATTGCCAATTATATTTAACAAAACTTAATAATTTTAATAAACCCACTAAATGGTGTAAATTTAATCAATCCATGTGATCTGTTCTGTTATTTTACAGTTTATGTTCTATTAAAAGCACTAAAAATAAAGCAAAACAAAACAAAAAAAACAAAAGTATCTTCAATTGTTCCTTTGGCACACTCGAGACTCCATACAGGGACTACTTTCTCTCTACAGAAATATTCATCAACTTTCAGGGTAATTCAATCAAAGCCTGACGATGAGGACGTCTCTCTAACTTCTCGCTGTGTATTAAATTATTCTCTGTGTCAACAACCTGCTGCTGCTTCGCCTCCGTAGAATAAAATAAAAATAAGACCTTTTTTTTTGCTTCAAGAAAACAAAATAAAAAAAAAGAACAAAAAGCTTCACCCATATAAATTAAAAAAAAAAAAATATGTACAAACCTTTAAAACAAATTAAATAAAACATATGGCCTCGAGTCTTTTCACAAGTTTAAAGGATTAAAAAAGGGGGGGGGACAAAAGAGGAACTGCATAAATTATGTGACAGCAGGACCGATGAGAGGATGATGAGAGGATGATGAGAGGATGAATATGGCACAATTATGAATCTTTGGTTGCAGTTCGAAGTCTTTAATCTGACTTTTGTCCGTTCGTCCCTTTAATCTCTCGTCCTTCGTCTTTATATCATTCCTCTTTCAGTCCTTCAGGTCGGTGGATCCTCTCTCCTCCTTCTCTCTCCATCACAATTTACACTATTCGTCTCCTCCGAGGAGCTTTAAAGACTCCTCCGGCCCTCTAGGGGGCAGCAGTCCCTGTTTCCATGGAGGTGACTCCTCTTAAGAAGGCCCTCGGACCTCCCTCAGCGCCTCCTGCAGTCTCTGGCGGTACGACTCGTAGCGGCGGATCACCGCCTCCCGCTGCTCGTCCTCCTCCTTGTCAAGGATCCGCAGGAAGTTACGCAGCTCGGGGATGGAGAACGCGTCCCACTGAAAACACAAACACACTTTATTTACTTTTAGTTTTATTTTTGTTGTTCATTTTTATTTTATCAGGACTAATTTTTCATTCAATTTTTCCCCACTCTTCTTGCCATAAATGGGCTTCCATAGAAAGAAGGAGTAAAATAAGGAAGCAAGAAAAGGAGAAAGAGAAGAAGGAAGAATGAGAGAGAACTTGTGGAGGAAGTGAAGGATGAAGAGGATGAAGATGAAGAGGGAATAAATATTTAACAATCACAAACAGAGATATGGAGGCACGGAGGTGACGAGTTACCATGACTTCTCCAGTCTGCTGTTCCCTCAGTACGAAGCTGAGCGTGTCGGTGTCGGGCCCCGCCACCAGACGAAGAAACAACGGCTGCTCGCCATCCGCCAGCTTGCACACATACACTGCAGAGCACACACACATTCAGTCAGTGGTGTGTGTGTGTGTGTGTGTGTGTGTGTGTGTGTGTGTGTGTGTGTGTGTGTGTGTGTGTGTGTGTGTGTGTGTGTGGCACATTAACAATCCTTGATGTTCGACTGAACTGGAGTCAGACAGAGAACAACAACGGAGGACTTAAAGAGCCAAAACTATCTGATTTTACAGCGATAATCTTATTATCTTATTATATATTATAGTATAATATTAAACTTATAATCAGAATATTTGGTAATTAAACTCAATCGAACCTCGGTCAACTTCCTCTCCTGTACTCATACGTCTGACTGACTTCAAACAAACAAATTCAATGAATTCAGACTTTAGTTTTCATGTTTTCATAAACTCTCTAACTTTCTTGGAGAAGCTGAACAGACTAGAAGATAATATGTGACAGCCTACGAGCCGTAACAGCTGCTGATTCATAGAGAGTGAGTATTTATATAAGCTGTTGGTAGTGGGGAGAGCCCTGTGGCATCCAGCTACCAG